CAGCCCAGCGCTCAACCCCTGCGCCACCCGGGAGGCCCCTATTCTTCTTTTCTTTAGACTGGTTTCAAACATGAATCTTTGGATATATCCAAAGGTTGATGTAGGGTTTGATTTTTTTTTTTTAAAGATTTATTTATTTATACATACAAGAGCTGAGGTTAGAGAATGCAGGGGGGTGAGAGGATTCACCAGAGACAGAGTGGGGAATAAAACAGGCAGACTAACTGAAACACACTGCTGAGGAGAGCAGTGGGGGGACAGGAGAGGTCTCGCTGCGCCATGTGGGTTGCTCCCTGGCCAGCCAGGGGTAGGATTCATACTGCTGATTTGTTCATAGTGCTGTGCTTAACCCCTTGTGCCACCAGGGAGGCCCTGATAGATAGTCTTAAACAGATTAAGAAAGTTTCCTTCTCTTCCAAGATCACTAAAAAAAATTTTATAAGTGGATTTTGAGTTTAAACCTATGTTGAGATAATCATCTCATTTTTCTCATTTATTAATGTAATTAAATATACAGATTGATTTTTTGATGAAAACCCACACATTTTTCCTGAAATAAACCTAATTTGGTTATGATTTTTTATTATTCTTGCCCATTTTTTAATTGGTTTGCTAATACTTTTGCTGTGATTTTTGCATGAATGAGATTGACGCCTGATTTTTTTAAGATTATGCTTGCATACCTAATAAAATGAATGAGTTTGTTTTTCTCTTTTCCTGTACTTTGGAAGTTTCTTTGAAATGATTATTTACTCTTTGAAATTTTGTGGAATTTGCCTATAAAACTATCTGGGATGGCTTCTCCTTATTAAACTGCTATTTAATTACTTTAAAGCTTGTAGAATTGTTTTTTGCATATCATCTTGTGTCTATATTTAATAAGTTGTATTTTTCTGGGAATTTGGACCTTTCATCTTAATTTTCAAATGTATAAGCATAAAGTTAAGTATATTCTCTAAGCATTTGTAGGTGTGTGTCCTTCTTTTGTTCCTAATGTTATTTGTGCTTTCTTCTCTTTTGCTATCAACTCTGTTAGACTTTTTTCAAAGAACAAAGTTTTGGTCATGATTATTCTCTACTGTATGTTTTCTGTTTCTTTAATGCCTATCTTGTCTTTGTTATTTCTTTCCTCTGCTTAATTTTTTGTTATTCTTTTGGTTTTTCAATACTTGTTGAGGTGGAAGCCTATCCTCATTAAGTTGCAGCCTTTTTCCTTTCTAGAATATCTATTTAATTCCACATATTCCCTCCACGTACTGCTTCAACATATGTTATAATATTTACTATTTTCATTATTTATCTTAACATATTTTTGAATTTCCATTTCAATATCTTTGTTGATCCATGAATTACTTAGTAGTGTATTTCTTAATTTCTAAATGTAAATATTTGTGGTACTTATTCTGATATTATTGCTTTTGAACTCAATAAATAGCTTTCTGATATTATTGCTTTTGAACTCAATAAATAGCTTTTGAACTCAATAAACAGAATATAATTATATGATTTCAGTCACTTAAAATTTATTGAGACTTCACTACAATCTAGAACAGAACTCAGCAAACCTTTTCTGTAAAGGGTCAGTTAGTAAATATTTTAGGCTTTGTGATCCTTACAGTGTCTGTTAAAATTGCTCAATTCTGCTGCTGCTATGCAAAAGCAAGCTTAGGCAGTGTGTAAGTAAATGAGTGTGATTGTGTCATTCTTAGTGTACACGTCATACAAAAAGCCACTAAGGTGGAATTAGCCCCTGAAGACTATGTTTAAGGATCCTCAGCTACAACGCTGTAAATTTTTTAAATATATTTTGTGCATACTTGAAAAAAATGTCTTCTACAATTTGGAGGTGAAGTATTTTTTTATGTATCCATTAGGATGAGTTTGTTGGTGTGTTAAACAAATCTATAATATAGGTTTCTTTTTAAGATGTTTTCTTTGAAATATAACATTAATAAAGAAGGGGGCACAGATTTTAAGTGTACAATTCGATGAATGTTTTCAAAGTAAACTTGTTTGTTTAATATCACTTAGGTTCAAACATAGGTATTGTCAGCCCCCAGACAGTTGCATGTACCTTCCTCTCCCCATCACTAATCCCCTGAAAGGTGACTGCTATTTTGACCTCTACCACACACTCTTCAGTCTTCATTGATTAGTTTTACTTGTGTTTGAAGTTTCTATGAATGGAATTATGTGATATGAATTTATTTGTGTCTGTTTCACTCACTATATTTGGGCATTCCATGATATTACAAGTATATAAGTAATTGTGGTTGTTTCTTTTCACTACTATGAAGTATTCTATTGGGTGACTACATCACAAAGTTTTTATTCATTCTCCTTTTGATGGAATTGTTATGTCCAGTTTAGATTGTGTCCAGTTTGTGACTTTCCTTTTCATTTCAATAATGAGTAGAATTTTTAAAGTTTTTGTTAAGTCTAATTTCATTATTGAAAAAAATTTGCTTTTTGTACCTTAGGAAATTCTTGACTAACCCAAGCTTGTAAATATTTTCTTATATGCCTTTTTCTAGAAGCTTTGTGGTTCTAGCCCTAATATTTTGATCTAAGTGCATCTTCATTTTTGCGTGTGGCATGAGCTAATCATCAAGGTCTGTTAATAAGCATAGCTATCCAGTTGTTTCAATGTCTTTATTGAAATAAATGTTGCCTTCCCCATAAAATTGATATACTCTCCTTACTGCAAATCATTTACTGTATACGTGTGACTCTTTTCTCAAACACTATATTCTGTTCTGTTGATATATTTGTCTATTTTGGTGCCTATGTTATGATTTTTATGATATGGTGTGATAGTGTTACAGGCCTTGAAATCACATAATGTAGATCTTAACTCTTTTTGCTTGCTAATTTATATTTTCAATTCTATATAAATTTAAAATCAGCTTGTCCACATATATCAAAATAGTTAGATAAAATTTTTATTGGTTTGTGTTGACTCTAAAATTCTATTTCAGAAAACTGGGCATCTTAACAATATGGAAACTCCCAATCCATTAACAATTACTTAGATCATCTTTATTTTAGCAGCATTTGGTAGTTTTAAATGAGATGTCTTGCATATCCTTTGTCAAATTTATTACTAGACATTTACAAATATAATTGATTTGGAGAATATACTGTATCCTGTGGACTTTCAAATTTCACTTATTAGTTCTAGTGAAATTCCTTTGATTTTCTTGTATACATCATGTTATCTGTAAATAAAGATAACTCTGCTTCTTTCTAATTTTTATGCTCTTGTTTTCTTCCTTTCTTCCCCTATTTTCACTTATCATAATGACAAGCATCTTCAAAAATATTGGACAGAATGGGCCTCCCTTGGCACCAGAATGGTACAAGGGTTAAAGTCTCAGGGCTATCAAGCTGTAGCCAGCCACTGTAGCATGAATTCCATCCCCAGCCAGAGAGCTATCCCTCATGGCACAGCAGACCTCTCCTGTCTCACCCACTTCTCCCCTCAGCAGAGTATTTCAGTAGAGCCACCTGTTCTGCTCCCCACTCTGTCTCTGGTGAATCCATTCTGTCCCCCACCCACCCCCACACCTCTGGCCTACATCCCAGTTATTGCATGCATAAATAAATTAAAATAGATCTTAAAAAATACATGTTGGACAGAAGTGGTGCATGACAAAGACATCCTTGCCTTTTCAGATCTTCTTAGGTAGAAAACTTTTAGATTTCACCATTAATCATGATGCCATATTATTTTTCCTTTAAGATTTCATCAAATTGAGGAAATTGCCTTTCTTTTTCAGAGTGCTGGGTTTTGTTTTTTTTTTTTTTTCATGAATAAGAGTTGAATTTTAAATAATGTAAAAAACATTAGTTTGATGAATTTATGAATGTTAAACCAGACATGGTTTTATGGAAAATTCTACTTATGGATACAGATTTCTTTTTCTATATTTCTGAACTTATTTGCTAAAAATCTGGAAAGGGGCCTCCCCTGGTGGCGCACGCAGGTGGTTGAGCGCCACGCTGTGAAGCTGTCTGCAGCCTCTGCAGCGCCCGTTCAATCCTGGCCGGCCGGGAGGGTTCCACATGGCGTAGCAGACCTCTCCTGTCACGCCCGCTGCTCCCCTCAGCATTGTATTTCATCAGTTTGCCTGTTCTGTTCCCCGCTCTGTCTCTGGTGAATCCTCTCACCCTCCGCACGTCTGGCCTGTACCCCGGTTCTTGTATAAAAATAAATAAATAAATCTTTAAAAAAAAATCTGGAAAGAATTTTTGTACTTTTGTCAAGAGATATTAGTTTTAATTTTCTCATATCAACTCCTTATGGACAAAGATCATCGCTATATCCCAAGCTATTCCCCAGTACCAACCATATAAAAGATGTTCTACAAATAAACAGTTTTTTAAAGAAGTCAGAAGACCTACACTGAGACCCACATTAATTAATTTAAATTATCTATAATATTAATTAATATTACAAATTCAACAGGTATTTGGGTTTTAACATATACCAAGTACAGTGCTGCTCACTGGGATTTTCCAACCACTCCTCAATATCTTTTACTAATTTTTCAGGTCTACCTCTAAACATTGAAAATTTATAGGGTATAGTCCTTGAACGTCTTGCTCATCTAATCACCTGATCTCATTGCTATAAATACCATGTATAATGTATAAGTGAACAATCTGAATCTCTGTCTTGACTTCCACCCTGATATATCTGCTACCACTTCCATATATCACCACTGGATATCTAATAGGCATCTCAAACTTAGCATGTCTAAAATTGATCTATAATACATCTTCATGAACAGGTGGTCTGGCCTTCCAATAAACCATAGACCATGGCATTATTCTTATGCTTTTTCTTTCCTCCTTAAGTAATAGTCTGCAGCAAATCCTGTTAGCTCCATCTTTAAACTGTGTACAGAAACTGACCACCTCTCCGACTTTTCTTGCTATCATATCTTCGGTTTGACTGGTTTTTGAAAATTAAGTGTTTTTCTGTTTTGGATCAACAGGTTCCGTTTTTTGGGCCTTTGTTTGATGGAGCCATAGTGAGTGGAAAGCTACTGCCAAGCCTTATATGTGCCACGTGCATCAATGCCAGCCGGGCCGTGAAGTGCCTCATCCCACTCTACCAGAGCTTGTATCTTTTTGCTTTAAATACGTAATTAATTAACCATCCCAGAATCCAGACTTCTGCCAGTTTTTCGTGACTGGTAAGTATTAACAACTGGATTGAAGAAGGAAGAGAGACTTTTTCAATCTACTTTGAAAATAGTGTAATGTGATTTCCATACCATTTGTTAATTTATATTGATTATAATAATGTTACAAAATGAAACTAAGGAAGAGTTTATTTTCAGAACATTAGTCATATAAGTTTGCGGCGAGAAGCTGTACTGTGAGAGCCTCATATCTCCTCAGATGATTCATATCTCAAGCTCAGTTTCGTTCTCCTCCTATTTTTTATAGTCTCCTGTGGGTAAGGTGGGATGCTAAGCCCAATATGACGGTTCACTTAAGGTACCTGTCAGAAACCAACAGCAGTAAAATGATTCTAATAAACCAAATAATGTGGAGATGCCACCAGAGAGGTTCACAGAGGGCCACAAAAGGTAGGAAGAGGGAGAAGTTGCATCTGGTTGGGAGCAAAGGGCAAGTGTCCTCAGAGAAATTGCCCTTGAACCCATCAGTAAAAATGGGTAGAAAGGCTTTGATAATATTCCCAAATCATTAAAATTTCTTTCTCTAATTCTTGCTCTTCTCTCTTAAAACAGATGAAATTTCACCTCTGTAATAAGTCTCAAACATTAGTTGGCATGCTATAAATTTTAAATGCAAGTATAATCTCTGATTATAAGAAAAAAAATTAAGTTGCCTTGATATGTTTGCTGCAAAAGGCATCTGACCTCCTAATAAAACTTTGAGTCTCTTCATTTCTAATTGGTATTGATAATGATTATAAAAATACTGTGTTTTCCCAATCTAATAGTGAGTGATGTGTCGCTGGAGGGTGGAGGTGAGAGATGGGGACAAAATATGTGTGCATAGATACAGTTCATGAAAAATACCTTTCATTAAAATCCTGGTCACTTCATTGACTGATACTCTGTCTTTAGATTAAAAAAAAATACATATGCCATGTGGCAACTTGGAATTATCATAGAAATTAGTAGTAGAAAAGAGCTATTAGGTCCCATCTGGTCCCTCCCCAGGGGCTAGAGCAGCATTATCCCCTTCAGCATGTGCCCTCGTGCTTTGTCCAGGCTGGTGGTGCGTGTTTTGGAGATGGCATTCTTTGCAGTGATTTCCACAGCACTCTAGACTTAATCTTGTGGCTAGTGTGGATTCAGCCTTCAGCATGGAGTTCTTATTTCACATGTTGTTTAAAAAAAGGTTCTTGGCAGAGATGAAAAAGACCTATTTGGCAATTGATTTGTCAGTTTGAGGATGAGCTGGACATTCCTTAGTCAAGTATGTGGGTCCAAGGCAAGAAAAAAGTCATCTGCAGAAAAGAAAATTCCATTTTGTTTTTAAGTCCATTGTGATTTTTGTCACATCACCTTCTCTAGTTATTGAACTTGTCATTACAAAATATATGTTTTGTTATTTTGTTAAACATTACTTTCTCAAATAATTAATATAGTATCTATTTTTTAAGGGAAACCATCTTTTTAAAAGTTCAAACAGTAAGATTAGTATTATTTTCAGAACTTTTCAAACAAATCGCATTTGGACTCATATGGATGCAGCTCAGACTGCTGATGCTAATGTGGGTTAGTAAACACAGAATTCTAAAATAACTCATAAAATAGCCAGGCTGACATCTCAGAGGACAACGTAGTACAGAAATTAGGAGAGAGAAAGTAATAAATCTTATGTTGATCACTATAAAAATGTAAAATTTGTATTTGTTGAAAAATTTAATTGGTGCTGAATCGTCAAATAAATTATTTAAAATAACAAATAAGCTATTATATACAAATTTTATAGAGATGTAATCAATAGGAAAAATATTTCTATTTCTACTCCATTTTTTACATTTCTGTCTACAACAAAACTAATATTTGGACCAGAAACCAGAAGCATAATAAGAACAACAGTTGGGGAAAATGGAAAAAAAATAAGGAAAAGGGAGGGTTTTTTAATATATTTTGTTCTTTTAAAAAAGTATTACTAGCTTTTTAACTTTTATAGATATAGGTATCTGCTTAGACCTTTAATAATTACTTGGTCCTGTAACATTTTATTAAAACATCTCTCAGACTATTCTAAACTATGTTGTGTTGCAACTGGTGTCTGGAATTCACTGCTTTGTTGATATAATAGTCTCTTAGATTTGAATTTTGGGAAGCACTGAATAGCCTAATACAACTTAGTCATGACTACCTCCTTACATTTATTCATTTGCCAAAAACAGTCTCTGTAGACTCATCATCTACTGGATCCCATGCTAAGGCTCGGGATACAAGGGGAGCAGGGAAGACTCGTGGGTCTTTTCTGCAGGCTTCATCTAGAGAAGACAAGCAAACAAACTCAGTTCTGTAAACAACTAAACAGAGTTGTGGATGAGGTGGGTCGGTGCAAGGCCTCTTTGCAGGGAGGGCATGTGGGCTGAGATTTGAGGAGTGAGGGGAAAGCTATCCTCAGGGACCAGGGGTGGCATCCAGGCAGAGGGCATGATAGCAAGTACAACTACTCAGTATTCTCAAGTGATAAGTGTTTCTAAGGATTATATGTGTGGTCAGATCCATCCCAGTGCCTGTGACAGAGCCAAGAGTCAGCTTGCAGCAGAGATGGTGTTCTGGGTGATACTGAGGAAACCTAGCTTCCCCGTTTGCTAACCTCATGACCCACCTTGAAAATTCTGGTCTTAATACCATATCAAGGCTATCTGATTCCAGGGACAATAGATGTAGGGGCCACAACCCCAAGGCTCTGCGAGCACCCGCCCCTCAAACGCTCACCCCAGGGCCTGAAAAGATTAGTAATGCTTTTTTTTTTTTAATAAATTTTATTTTTATATTCCCCATACAATTGCAATCCCCTTATTTTGACCCCAATCCCTCCCCTCCCCACCCCCCGCCCCCCATAGAGTGTCTCTGGTTCATAGTTTTTTGTTGATTTTGATTTTCACTTTCTAATAGTTATTCATTTTCCTGGTCCCTTATTTAAGTTTTCTAGATTCCTGCTATGAGTGAGACCATCTGGTATTTTTCTTTTTCACTCTGGCTTATTTCGCTGAGCATGATCCCTTCCAGCGCCATCCATGTTGCTGCAAATTGCATGTGTTTATCTTTTTTGAATGCTGAGTAATAGTCCATGGTGTATATGTACCACATCCTCTTGATCCAGTCATCTGTTTTTGGGCATTTGGGTTGTTTCCAAAGCTTAGCTATTGTAAACAGTGCTGCTATAAACATAGGGGTGCAGGTGCTCTTTGGAATTGATGTTTCTGTAAAATTAGGACTCGCTGACATAATCTATGGTCTCAGTGCAGACTGAAAATATGGGGCTCCTTGTTCAAAAACTAGGAGAAAGTGTCTTTGAAGATGCTAAAATATAAAGCTTTTCCTCATTTTTCTATGGTTTTGTCTCTGCTCATCATGTTGCTTTTTAATGTCATTTTAAGGAAAGAATTATTAAAATTGTTAAATTATTAGCTTTAATTTTATCATCCTTTAGTGCCAGTTCAATATGTAAAGATAAAAGCATATATAACTCTATGCAAATGTGAAAACATTTACCTATTCTGTGGATTCACCAAAGTTACACAATTCTTCTTTCATAATTTGCAAAAGCATATGTGCCTTTCTTCTTACCAGGACAGTGGATCCACTGCATCTGTTTTTATTTCACCCTTTATCTGTACATATTGTACCACCACTTTACCTTCAGTTGATGGAGGGAAGGAACTGTGGATCATCTTGTTTTTACCTTCTATGCCATCATTTTCAGAGTAAATTGTTGACTAATGTGAGGAAGTAACATAACAAAGGCTATGATAGGGTTCCTTAGCTCTTCATGTTTCATAGGACACCACTGCCCGCTTTCTGCATTCAAAGCACATTCTGCTTCAGACAAAAGCTATGATTCTCAGGCTTGCCCCCCCCCCCCGCTTCTCCCCTCCCCTCTTCCCTTCCCACCCCTTACTCAGTAGTCAAAGAAGCAACATACTTTCCACATATTCATTTTGAGTGTCCCTGAATTCCTAGGCACCATGGGCTATAATAGTCTATGCCCTTGCTACACCGCTAAGGCTACATGTGAACAAGCCACAGAGAGCAAAGACCAGCAGCTAACACATGTGTGTCTCCTCTAATAAAGCACATGCTCTGCTGTCTCATTGCATTTCAAATACAAAACCTAAGATAACATTATGAAGAATTTCAAAATGGCAGCAGTAGAGCATTATGCCAGACAGGACTTGTTTAAGCACAAGTCCTGGGCAGCTGCACAGGCGATACATCCATGAAGCCCTATCTGGAACCCATTCTGAACACCCCCTCACCCCAGTAGGGATTGGGGGACTCTCTTTCTAGGTTTTTATTTCTATTTGATTCTCTCCCTAAAGACTGGCAGTATACCTACCCTGCAGCAAAACTTTATTGACATGTGAACCAAGACTTGTTAAAGAATGAGCCAGCCTAGAAGCGCAGCTTTAGTAGATATAGTGCATTTAAGAGACAAAAAGTCTGAGAAAAAGGGCCTCCCTTGGTGGCACAGGTGGTTGAGCGCCACGCTGTGAAGTTGTCTGCAGTCTCTGCAGCACCAGTTCGATCCCAGCCGGCCAGTGAGGGTCCCCCATGGCGCTGCAGACCTCTCCTGTCGTGCCTGCTGCTCCCCTCAGCAGTGTATTTCATCAGTCTGCCTGTTCTGTTCCCCGCTCTGTCTCTGGTGAATCCTCTTACCCTCTCGTGCATCTGGCCTGTACCCCAGTTCTTGTATAAATAAATAAATAAATCTTAAAAAAATTTTTTTTGAAAGTCTGAGAAAAAGTCTGAGAGTTATTATTACCTGTTTCCCTAAGATGTTAGGTACAGTAGTGAGTGCTGACAAAGGGAAAATTTCTTGGTCAACACAGACCATTTTATATGAACAATCCTTTGTCCTCATTTTGTTTTTAAAGATTTATTTATTTTT